TAGGGAGCGAGGGCTGGAGGACCGTGTGTTGACATTGCAGGTGGGGTGCTTCACAAGGTGCCCTTGTGTACAAGTCCTGCACGTACGCCGGCTCCTTCGAGTGTACCGGTTGTGTGGTCGAGCGCATACCGGAACGGTCAAGGACAGTCATGGGACAAACAGGCGCCGTAAAAATCCCCTCATCCTCAGTAAATCAGTAATGCGCATTCCGATCAAAACAGACGTTACGTTGCTTTAAAACATCGCAAGGACGCAACGACCACGTGGCGATCTGTAGCGCAGTGCGGACAGCCCTCCTCGTTAGCCGGGTAGGTCTGTGGTGGCCTACCTTTGCTGCCCTGAGCGCCGCAGGAGAGCTGTCACGTCAGCCAGGAAGCGGGCTTCACACCTACTGACCGCGGGTATTTGTAAGGCGGATGCTGGTTTTTCCTGTAAGCTCCCGGGACAGAAGCGTTGTCAGCGGGACGGTGCCGTTCGTGTGCATGTAACCACAAAGATCTCTCTCTCCTTAGGTGCGGCCGGCTGGTGTACCACCTGGGTCTGCCCTATTCCTTCCTGTCCTTCCCATACGTAGAAGAATCTATTAAGATTGCATACTGTGAGAACAAGTGTGGGAACTGCTCTTACACGGTATTTTCTGGTTTCATTCTCTATGTACTAGGAAAGGAAACTGGATTTGACCGGTACTTAAAAAAAAATTATTTCAGTGCGATTAAGCCAAGAAGACATCATTTAGATCATCCACATATTCCATGCGTCTTGACAGAGAGCTGTTAAACATCTTTTCCAAGTCAATTAGATCTAATTTATAACAGGCTGATTATCTAAATTCCTGCCCTTGATAGAAATGCAAATCATTTTCAGAAGTCTAAATGCAGCCTTGGAGGCTTAATTCTGTTTCTGGAGCAACGTGCAACCAGTGAGCATTTAGCTACCCCAGGCTGTGGGGACCGGTAGGTACTGAGGCAAACAGTATTTTGTTTTAAAGCCTGGGAATCAAATCCGAGCTGGTCTGAGTTACTATTCCTTTTAGTTTACATTTAAACACGGTATAGAGTAGCTCCTTTAAAACAGTGGTAGTAGAGGGTGGCAGGTTACTGTGACTATTCTAAGAGAAGGGTAGCTTTGTTTTACACATAACTAAAGGTCAGAACCATTTTAAGGGTTGTCATGAAATGCACTTACATAGTCATGAGAGTTCAGTGAGAAGCATCATCCTTTTTGATCCCATCATACAGTTTTCCAGCTAAATGCAGGCCTCAAGGAGGTCTCGTGCGGCATCCTAGAAAAAGAATGCTTTTTATTAGCAATTTCTTGAATTATAATTCCTAAAAGGTTGCCTTAAGAGCCCCGTCTAGTTGTCAGTCGTGCTGTAAAGCAAGGTTCTTTTCAGTACATTCATATCTTTCTTCAGCAAAGTAATGCAAATAATTTAAGATTGGGTTTCAGGTTCTGCAAAAATGTTAAGACAATTGGTATTTCACACCTAGTTTAGTTAAACATAATGCCTTGTATTTACTGCAAGCTTCTGTTTTGCAGGAACCGAATATTGATGGTATATGCGAAAACATCACTAAAAGAGCAGACGAAAAGCTAGCAGAGGTAGAGCCCAAGCCAACAGGTCAGCACTCCCATTCCGACCACCGCAGCCTGCCCAGGCAGCACCACCACCACCACCACCACCACCACCACAAGGGCAGCCATCGTTCCAAGAATGAGAACCACCAGGCTCCTTCGGAAACCCAGAGATACCATCCCCACAGCGGTCGGCGTCATAGAGTTTTTGGCCGTAACAGACACGGTCAGGCAGGCAGTCATGAGCAGGTAGACGCTGTTCCCCCAGGAGAAAACGTGGAAATTACACAAGATAAAAAGCTATGAAAAAAAGGGAAGAACAGCTGAAAGAACCAGTTAAGCTGAAACTGGCAGACAGCGTCAGACTCAGTTTCTAGTAGCTGATGCTGTCACTGCCGACACCTTTTGTTTGAAGAGCTAGGAAATTCTGTCACTTGACAGTGTCGTGGAGCACTTCCAAATTCGTGCAGGTGACATGGCCAGCTGTCAGCAGAGGACATCACTGAATCCTGACAGTGACGTCTGCTCACTGACACCTGACAGTCA